AATGGAATACAGTGTCCAGAGACAGACACTCGATTTCTGATCAGGTGACACTTTAGAACAATGGGAACAGAATAGTTTTTATGCTCAGTTTTAATTTTTTGCTAGTACATGTTTGCTGTACATAACGATCACATGCCTATGGGGAGTTGGTATGTGTACATAACACATCTCAGTTCTTTTTTTTAACCCCCTTTCCTTCCCCTCTGTCTCCCTTCCCTCCATCTCTTGGCCCCCTTCCATTTGCAGAAGATTTATCTCCTGATTTTTCCATTATCTAGCTCCTATTTTGCTCTTCTTTTATGTTTTGAGTTGCTCGTCTAAGAGAAACCATGTGATATTTAAGCTTGTGTGTCTAATTTATTTCACTTAACATTATGGTTTTAAGGTGCAGGCAAGGGCTTTCTCAAACTCCAGTTTTATAAAATCGAGAACTCCAGTTGTACAAGAAATAACATCAAAATCAACAAATTGAATCATATAAAATTAAAAAGCTTCTGCATATCAAAAGAAGCAACCAACAGAGTAAAGAGACAACCTATAGAATGGGTAAAAAAAATTTCCAGGTATTCCTCAGACAGAGGACTAATATCTAGAATATATAAAGAACTAAAAAAAAAATTAAACCCTCCAAAAATAATAGACCCAATCAAAAAAGGTCAACTGAAATGAACAGACATTTCTTAGAAGAACTACAAATAGCCAATAAATATATGAAAAAATGTTCAACATCCCTGGCCATTAGAGAATGCAAATTAAAGCAATACTGAGATTCCACCTGACTCCAGAAAGAATAACCATCATCAAAAAATCAAATAGAAATAAATGCTGGTAAGGCTGCAAGGAAGAAGGAACTCCTCTATATTGTTGGTGGAAATGTAATCTAGTACAATCATTATGAATATTCTTCCAAAAACTAAAAATAGAAATTCCATTTGACCAAACTATTCCCCCTCTTCCCAAAAGAGTTAAAGAGTGGTCTATGTAGTATATTGTTCTGTGACAAATGAATATCCATATGGAGAAAAAAACAGGGTTCCTCTCTCATAACATAGTTTTTAAAGCAATTCTTGATGGATGTTTGAACTAAAACTTTCAGAAGATAAAATAATATATTCATACTTTGGAGTTAACAAAACTTGAGGGTCGAGTTTGTTTTGTTTTGTGAAACAGTCTTGCTACGTTACCCAAGCTGGTATTGAATTCCTGGGTTCAAGGGATCCTCCAGCCTCAGACTCCCAAGAAGCTAGGAATACAGGCATGTATTACTACAAATATAGCTTAAGTAGTACCCAGAAAGCATTGCCTACCAGAAAAGATTAATGAAACTAGACTGCATTGAAATTTTAAAATCCTGTTCATGAAAGAGTGGGAGAATGTATTTGCATTACATAGAATGTACACTATCATGTATTCAGAAGATTTAGAGTCCTACATGTCAATAAGAAAAAGACAATCTAATACAGAAATATATGAGACATGAATAAAATACTTTATGAAGAAGATTCACAAAGGGCCAATAAATATATGGCAAGTTATTCAAACCAAATTAAAACTACAGTGCAAATTATCTCCAAAAACAAGCAGGAAGATCGCTGTGAGTTCAAGACCAGCCTGGGCTACATAGTGAGTTCCAGGTCAGTTGCAACCACATAGTGAGACCCTGTCTCAAAAAACCAAAGGGGGAAAAAAAAACAAACAACCAAAAATAAATACAGTGGCTTCAATTCAAGACAAACAAGCCACGACTGATCATTTAAACAGGCATACCTACTTTGGAAAACTGTTGACTGATACCTGGTAAAGATGAATGAACACATAGCCAATTGTTCTGCTCTAATTGTGGGTGTACCTGCACATCCAACAGTCAGTGAACCAACATATAGAAAGCAACCAAAAACTGGAAACACCCTAAGCATCAATCAACAGAGAATTAAAATGTCACACATTCCAACAACCCAATGCTACACCAGAATGAAAATGAACAAAGTATGTCTACCAACAACATCAGGATAACATGGAAGAAAAACTAGACACATACATGGCATGGTTCCATTTAGATAAGTTTCAAAAACAGGCTGGGTGCTTATTATACTAATTGCTTATTAGAGTTAAACAACTGGCCTCAGGGTTAAAAAAAAATGTACTTCAAGCCTAGTTCTTAAACCATTTAATTCACTTAAAAATTTATGTTTGGAAGCATGTTCACTCCAGAGGTATTTCTGATACTCACCTGGCACCAGGCACCTGCTCAGTGCAGCTCACAGGTGAGCAGATACAGCTGAGAGCACCATGGGCCAGGGGCACTTGGTCCTTCTGGTGGAAGAATAGGGAGTAAACAAGAGGACACAGGGGCTTCTGGGGCTGGTGATATTCTATTCCCTACATAGGTATATTCGATTTATGAAACTTCACTGAACCTACTTCTCCAACCACGCACTCGTAGCTTGTTATAGTCCATCCACACTAACTTGTTTCTGGCCATTAAAACATGAAGCATGTCTCCACATTAGGACCTTCAGTTGGCCCCTACACGGGACACGATTCAGATTTCAAAAGAACTTGCTCCTTCTTGCACTGTAGGTCTCTACATTTCTCAGAGAAGTCCTCCTTGATCACTCAGTCCACACAGCTCTCATCCCGGACAGTCATCCCCGCCCCGTCTCTATCACATCTCCAGAGCGCTACCCATCGGGAATCAGGCCATATGCAAATGTGTGCATTTGTGTACTATGTGCGCCTTCCACTAAAATGACAAGCACTCCACCACCGCCACTGCTGCACCCCCATGACCCTGCCCGACATGCAGGACACTTGATAAATATGCAGCGGATGCGTGGGTGTCACCAACACATCCAACAATGTCTTCTCCTGTGAGGCACGGAAAGAAGCAGACTTGGAAAGGAAAAAAAGAAAAGAGGAGGAGAAAACAAGACACCAAAAAGTCAAGCTTCTTACTTAGCAGAATATGCCACAGTCCACTATGCAGAATGAGGCAATCTAATAATAAAGCCTAAGAAACCCCGTGAAAAGCGAGCATTTTTCTAGACAGGTTTTTTTTTTTTTTTTCATTTTTTTAAGTGGTTCTAGGAATCAAACCCAGGGCCTTGACATGCTAGGAAAAGTGCTCACCCACTGAACTGTAATAAACACCCCAAAATATAAAAGGCACAGTGCCTAAGACAAAAGAAAAGCTACCTTCAGGAAGAGTCTAAACTAAGCATGACTGTAAGGTAAAGTGTTAACTCAGTTTTCACAAACAAATACCTGGAGAACTATAGTAAGACTCACAGCTAAGGATGTTTCCTAAATTTTAGAGCTTATGTACCTATATATGCAAAGTCCTCTTCTTCAATCTAGAGTGCCTGCACCCTAATTTCTTCTGAGATTATTTTGAGGCAAAGTAGAAAACCCAGATACCACACGGAAGTAGACAGGCATGCACAGGAATGGTGTTAGTTCACACCAGACTCGCCAAGTGTCCCTGGCCCGTGGTGCTCCCAGCTGTATCTGCTCACCTGTGAGCTGCACTGAGCAGGTGCCTGGTGCCAGGTGAGTATCAGAAATACCTCTGGAGTGAACATGCTTCCAAACATAAATTTTTAAGTGAATTAAATGGTTTAAGAACTAGGCTTGAAGGAGGTTTTTTTAACCCTGAGGCCAGTTGTTTCATTTTAATAAGCAATTAGTATAATTAGTATAAGCACCTGGCTAGTATGTATATGTATAAGTATAAGTATATATAAAATCTTCATGCCATAAAGCCACACAAACTAAATAACAGACAAATAAAGAAAACCACTGGCAGAGAATCTGATCAAAAATAAAGCTCTAATAAGAGGATTATTTTATTTCTACCCCCACCCCATAAAAACCTAGAAATTTCTCTCTTCTTAATGATCCTGTCCTTGCATATTCTTCTTGAAAAATCATTACACTTCTGGCTCGCTCTTTTAAGATAAGAGGTAAGTGCTCAATTTTCAGCACTTCTTTTCTTAGTCATAATCCCCTCTAGGATTGGTAACGAATGTAATTCTTTGGCAAGCTCAAATCTTCATAACCATTTCAGATGCTAGGGTATCTTTCTATGAAATTCATCACCAGTTGTTTCTTACCAATCTAATATGACTTCAACTGGAAAGGAAGAATTATATAGAAAGGAATGCTATTCAACACAGAGCCATCCCAACATAAAAAGAAAAATAATTGAAGTTTCAGTATAAGATAATCCTAATTGATAAAAATTTTAGAGCTGGACCTAGACCAACTAGTGTTACTTTTGTCTCTTTGTTTTAGTAATGGGTAAACTGATAGTAAGCTCTAATATCTTAAGGAGAAGCCAGGTGGTCCAGAAAGGGTTGAAACTTCATGGGTTAAATCTTTCCACCTAGTGAGCTGGAGTTGGACAGGACGTTAATAGGAAAATATGTGAGTGAATGAACGAACACATAAATTTATAAAAATTCTTCTAAATTATGGAATTAAGGTAGTTAGTGGCAGGGTCAGGGCTACAGTCCAGTACTCCTCTTCTTCCTTCCTTGGAACTCTTGAGTGTATTCAGAAGTTACAGCTTCATGAGCGGTTCAGTAGTTATCAAGAGATCAGTAATCTCCTCCAAATCACTGACTGACCTTAGTTGTGTTTTTAAAAATTTCACTCTGCTTTTAGACGTGCAAACAAAAGAAAAGAATGAAAAGCACCAAGTGGGATGACATAAGAAAATTACACTGCAGCCAGATCACACATAGAAAATGACAGAAAAAGGGTAGGCAGAGAAGGCTCTGTGATGTTCTTCTCACTCTCGCCTGATCTGAGAGATATAAAAGGTACAAAGTTAGAATGCATCAGCTGTCAGATCGACAATATTCTATTAGGCACAGACTTCTATAACAATGCAGTTCTTTTATAACTGCAGGCTTGACACAGTCCACGACCAGGGGAACAAGAGGAGCAGAAAGGATTCGGAGAAGAACATCACGGGACGGTGGAGACGGTATACTCACTCTTCCAGAAAGTGCTGCTGGGGTCCGATGATGGAGCCTGGCCGGCAAATCCTGATCCAAGCAATGATTTCAGCGTGTGTAAACCTGTAGTGCTTCATTACATAACAGGCTATCAACGTTCCTGTTCTTCCAAGACCAGCTGCAGACAGGGAATACAAAACACAGCCAATGTACTACAGCTCATCCCAAAACTGTATCACACTTGGGTGCGATGAACCTACGTGTGTAATCAACGGAGAGGGTTGAAATGAAGCTACCGCATATTTGGGGGCAAAAAGAGTGATGTGATGTAAACCAGTGGACCTGGAGCACAGTCTGGCTGAAGCACAAAGGACAGAGGACAGAGGAAGTTAGGAAGTCGGGGCAGAACAGCAAAGGTGGCCCAGGGGACTGTCATGTGGGAATGGGGAGGAAGAGGCGAATCAGATATCTTGACTGGGTCACAAAGAAAGTGAAAAGTGAGCAGTTTCCGACCTAGCAAAATGACAAAACTTTCCGTTTATCCATGTGGACATTTAGTTAGAAAAGGAAATAGGGAAAAGTCAATGGCTCCATTTTTGATATGTTTAATAATCTTTCATTTTTGAGGGGCCCTTTTGAGGGCTTTCCCTGATCAAATAAAAAAAGAGACTCCTCTCTGGTCTCCCAGGATTTCAGCAAACTTAAGACACCATCATACTGACTGGTGGTGTAAAGCACAGCATGATTTAAATTGTGTAAGTAAAAAAATAATAATAACAAGAACTATGACAACCTATCAGTCCATCCTAATTTCAAAAATTATTTTGTCTAGTTTTCAGTATATATTTGCCATACCTAATCATGACATTCATCACAGGGAATCTGTACCTGTGCGTAAGATGTCTAATTCTTTTTTCCCCATTCCCTTGGCCTCCTTTCAACCCTTTTTCCTTCCCCATTTACAAAAGCGCTGTTTCCATCTTTTCCCTTCCACTCTCTTTTTTAAATTAATCCTTTCCCCCTCCCTTGTTCCCCTTCCCACAGCAACACGTTCTTCCTACTTTTCAATATCTATCCTCTGTTTCGCTCTGTATGTATCCTTTAGGTTTTAGAAACATTAAAATGTGAAAAAGTATGCTCTTAATTCAATGTTTTATAACTTTTTTTACAGCACTGCTTCTCTAGGAGCCTCTGTAGGTATTTTATATTAATCACTCCCATGAAATTTACTGTCACAGATACTGCATATCTATGTAGGTACTGTATGTAAATCTGTGCTTTATACAGAAAAGGAAAAGGTTTTCACACACACAAAAAAAGAATTCTGTCTCACTGGGAGCACTATTTTTTGAGCTAAGAATACATATCAAAAACAAAAATGAAATGATAGTCAAGCTCACGACTATAGACACTTGACATTTCCTTCCCATTCAATCTTCTTTAAAACACACACACATACTTATACTATTTTATCACTTGTGGGGTATGTGCATGTATACCCTGTTTTCACCTAAAGTACCTTTTTTCCCGGATCAAACATAACATTCATCAGAATGTAAAGTTTAATTATGGTCTCAGTTGGGCTTTTCCTTTAATATTAAGAGGTAAGAGATCTTCCTTTCTGTTTTACCCAGAGCCTATTGTTGCTAATTCCCCAGATACCTGATGAGACTATGAGTAACCCTGTAGATAAGGCACAGATGAGGGTCCCTGGAACAAGAGCTTTCCAGGGCCATCAGGCAGGATCTGTAGAGCCGGTGGTCTTGCTCAGGGAAACACAGTCTCTCACTGCTCCCTTCCTGCTCTAAAGAGCTATGTGGGGCCCTCAGATAGGTTCTCGGTCCTCCTCACAACCAGAGAGGTGCTGCAGAGGATTTTCAAATTTCTCTGAAACTGAGTTACTTCCCCCCTTTAAAAAGAGTCTATAATTTAGATCTATAAAAAGAACCTACTTAGCACTCAATAGTTAGGAGCTCTTACCACAAATGAACAGAATAGGAACACTTCACTAAGTTCCTATAAAAACTTAAAAAAATTTTAAAGCATTCATAATTAAAGGGTTCCCTGGCACAGCATGACAAGAAGTTGAAAGTGTTCTATTTCTACCAAGTCAAACTCCAATTGCTTTAGCGTTCTGGACATTTTCTGAAATCCATACAAAACGTCAATAATCACATGCCAGAATGTCACAATGTTGCTCTATCTCAGATGATTATTTGTGCTAGAAATATGGATTCAAGAATCCATAGCCATTCTTTTTACCAACCACAAAATGGATGGCAGATACCGTGGTAAAGTTTCACACACTGCTAGCAAATTAAAGTTTCCAGTTTGTCTCTCTATGTGATACTTCATATATTGCGACATGACATCTGCATTCTCCCTCCACTGTCTACTAAAGTTCATTTGGCACAGGATAAAATTCGCTCTCCCTCTTCCTTTCAGTTCAATTAAAATATTGGGGGCTGCTTGGATTCCCAGAAAATTAAACTGACTTAATTAGTGCAGATGTCAAAATAATGAACAGGTCTATAGTAGATAGGTATGCTATTAAAAGCAATACAGCTGTAATTAAACCAAAGGTGTAATCTTAAGAGAATCTTACATGTTTGTACAAAGGCAGCAAACAAAATAAGACTCTCAAAAAGATGTCACCACAAGTAAAGGTGACCTTCCTGTGCAAGAACTCACCTCCATGCTAAAAGTTCTGATCCCAAAATATAAAACCCCTTCAATATTTATTCCTTAAAAATAAACATTTAAGGGTCAAGCTAAGATATTTACAAGAATGTTCAACAACTGAGAGTTTCATTTCCATGAGGTTTCTCAAGTGAGGAACACTATCCAGAAAGATGTTGAGTTTTAACGAAAGCTTTGCATTTATCCACCCTTGAATTTGTCAATCCAATACATGGCCTGTGGATCCACATATAAACTATGTAAACTATACGCCTGATAGTCCTAAAATTAATGGACCAGGAAAAAGGCTAAATTAATCTCAGGAAAAATACTGATTTTTTTTTTTTATTGACATGAAACTGGTTTGAAAGAGAAGATGTGAATAATCTCCTACTAAAGGGTTGTTGCTGCTGTAATTCCCTCGGTTTCTGCTGGTATTTGAAACACGTGAAATGCAGACATCGTGCTGGACCTGGGCAATCCCACAAAATGGGATGGAAAAGCCAACGTAGGATGCAAATGAAACACGGCCCGGGACAAGTGACCCGAGAGTAATGCCTTCAGGTGGGTGAGCAAGGAACACCTTCCTCACAATCCACCACGCTGGGCTCCCGGAGATGGGACCAACCCTGGCAGGGAGGGAAGGAGAGAGCTAGGCCAGGGGTTGCTGAGGCCTGGCAGGGCCAGCCCGCGTCTGAATCAGGGTCCACGTGCTGCGCCCTTCCACCCCCCCAGTCTCGCAGCTCCCCTCGCTGCGCACATGTTCGGCAAAGTACCTCCACCTACTCAGATCTTAAACATAGAAACGAGGGCCTACAAAATGGTATTTTAATTTCTGTCAGAACCAGAGCCACACTCGTCTGAATAAGGCAGTTACAGCAGCACTCCGCACATGAAAAGAACAGTCCCATCCCCAACACCTACTAGCCAATTAGCATAAAATTCGACAATACCGGATTTGAGAACACAAAACCATGAGAACAGCACCACCCAGCGGCACTGTGCAGAGCTGCACGTGAGGTGCGAAGGCTCCATCCCTGGGCGGCCGGAGAGAGAGCATCTGGAAAGGATCTTCCACTGGAGGTGGAGTTTGAACCTCTGCAGAATCTAACATCTGAGGTTCGAGCAGATGCCATTCATAGAAAAAGGAGCGCATGGCCTAGGCAGTATCTGAGGCATAATTATATTTTAAAAAGCTTTCATCCCCAGAGAGCAGGGGTTCACTTAGAGGACAAAGTGTTTCAGCTCACTGCAAGAGGTGGCCCCACATCCTGGGCAAGTAAGCGACTAGATGACGCCTAGCAAGGGACAAGGACACCTGGGTTCCACGAAGCAAATAAATATCAGTGAGGAGGGGAGGCGCAGACGGCGGGAAGCGGGTACGGACGGCTGGGCTATAAAATGGAAGGAATGATCAGCCCACGGGTGGCAGGAGAATAGGCAGGAGGCGAGCAATTTCAAGAGAAAAGGGAAACTAACGGCATCTCTGTCTTGACAATCTTGCCCTCCTACAATTTTGCCAAGAACACTGATGCTGTTATTTCCCCTCACTGTGGAACAGTGTCAGGGAGCCTGGCTTCCGAAAGGTTCATGTCAGAGAAGCTGCCTTCGGGAGAAAGCCACAGCTCCACCGACTGTCCACGTACAAGCAGTCCTTGAGGAAAGGGGGATAAAAACAGGTTCGAGTTCCGGTTTTGTGAGATGACAGCCGCATTGTTTTCTAAGATGCGAGCCGGTCTTGCATTCCATTATTTGCTGGTTTGGGGCTCGGCCCCCAGCATGAGCACAGAGGCCCCTTGGAGCTCACACACCTTTGCAGTGAACCGCAATTGCCCCTTCGGTGTTCTCGCAGATATTCAGGAACCTCCGGACGATGTTGTCGCTGGGGGTGCTGCCATCTATGAAGAAGAGGTCATAGTGCTCAAAGCCAGCGTCTGTGAAGCGCTTCGCCTCATAAATCTTTTTGTTCAGTCTCACGATCGCAGTCACATTATGCTTTTTGAAATAAGGAAAGTAGGCTTCGGGGGCGTGGAGAGGGTAACCTACAGGGAAAAAGGAGCAGTAAGTGTAAGGCACACATTTCGTCTTACATAATTCAGAATCACAAAACCCTCAACGACAAAGTGTGCCAATTCCAGCAGGGCACAGCACGTGTCGTCAGAGTGTAAACGGCCACAGTGAGCTCGAGGGAGCATCAGTCTGTGTGACCACAAACACCAGAGGAGGTTAACGCAAACCGGGGGGCAGCTTACTCCTCCTGCCCCAAACAAGGGCATTCCCAGAAGCACTAAACTGCATGACACACTTGGAATGATTCTGTGATTTTATTCCCCTTTGAGCAGTTTTCTTCACTTAACAAATACATTTCAGCCAAGGTGAGTTCTGCCAGATTTATAGTTTTAATATATAGTTGTATAACCCCCAGCTCTATAGGTTTAGGATTGTTAAGCAACTACAACATACGACCACAATCACACAATTCCTCTTTTAATTCTAAAAAGAAAAAACAAATCTTGTTAAAAGGAGGGGTGAAGGGAGGGGGGACTAGTTCTGCCAGATTTATAGTTTTAATATATAGTTGTATAACCCCCAGCTCTATAGGTTTAGGATTGTTAAGCAACTACAACATACGACCACAATCACACAATTCCTCTTTTAATTCTAAAAAGAAAAAACAAATCTTTATAAAAGGAGGGGTGAAGGGAGGGCAGGGACAAGGGGAAAAAATGAGAACCGAGACCTGTCATGTAGAGGTACAAGATCCCAATGATGAATGTAACTGTACTGTATACCTCAAATGGACCAATAAACTCAATGAGAAAAAAAAAACTTGTTAAGAATTAAAAAGATTAAAAGACTAAAAGTTAAAGAAATGTTGATCAAAGGATGTAGAGCTTCAGTTAAACAAGAGGAACAGGTCCAAGAGAGCTCCTGTACCATACTGTGGCAATAACTAATACAATGTGCTGTATACTTGAAAGTCACCAGGAGAGATAATTTTTAATGGTATTAAAATGTGCCCACCACAAAAAATAAGAAATGTGTGAGCTAACATATATGTTAAACCTCACTTAGCCACTCGACAATGTGTACATATTTTTAAATATGTTATATACCATAAACATGTAATTTGTCACTTTAAAATATAATTAATTTTTAAAGAAACTAAATAACTTTAAAATATATTTGACTAGTGCCTATTGCTTTTGAGAAATATTAGGTTTCGATGTACTTTCATGCATGCATGTAACGTATTTTGTTCTACCACCTTCGCTTCCTTATAACCCTCTTCTTACTATCCTTATTCGCTTCCTCTAGTCTAATAAAAGCATCCCTCAAAAACAATAACTTTTTGGTGGCCATTTTCTTTTGGGGAGGGAGGTGCCCAGACTGCAGCCCTCCGGGGTGCCTGCCACGCTGTGACCTACAGAGTCAGGTGAGCGGCAGCCCTGGTTTTGGCCAATCGGCCCGGTGACCAGCAGGCCACTGCGGACCTTCCTCAGCAGCGCCGAGGGATAAGGGGACTAGTTTCTCGGCACACTGACTCCCACACCTGTAACCAACTCAGAGACACTGATCCTGGCACACCAGGTAAGGGAAACGACCTCGTCAGGAATTTGTTCACGATGGCGGGGCCCAAGAGCAGCCTGTGAAGTGAACCGGAAGTTTCCACACTGTTCTTGGCCGCGCTGCGCTGCCGCCTGCCTCAGATGCTGCTTTGTGCTGGTCATTTCTTATTTTCTCTCAACTCTTTTATACGCAGCTCTGTGATGCTGGTACTGGGGTCCACACACTACTTCTTCTCCCAGACTACCTTCCTAGCTGCCTGGCAACTCCCTTTTGTCCCTTCTGTCTCCCCAGCATTGAGGCACCACCTGCTTTTCTATAATATTCTGGATTCTTTGCTGCTACCTTTCCGACTTTTTAGTCTTCTTTTTAACAAGCTCCTTGTATGAAATTCCCAGTTTGGAATACCTAGTATGGTTGCCAGTTTTGCCAAACTCAACCTGCAGGCTGTGAGTTACCCAACATATTCCAGTGGATGGGTTTTTAGTTTAATTTATGGGAGTTGCTTCTACCACCTGCAAGCAAGAGCCCTAAGTGGTAGACGTGGCCAAGGTCACACAAAAAAACAGAGGCCAAATTGGAAGGCAGGCCTAACCCTAGCCCAAATACATGACCTTCACAGGCCATGCTGCCTTTGAGCAAGCAGGCAATATGAATTCAATTAACATCCGTGTGGAAACAGCAACTTGTACACACACAAAGAGAAAACACGAGCTGTTTGACTTGCAAAAAAATCAAGTCTGCTTTATTTGCTCAAACTATTTCCCAGGAATGGATTCAAAGCCTAAAGGTAAAAACAAACTCTGGCCATCTGATTCTGTCATCTGTTCTGAGGCTGACCTCAAGGAAGAGTCAACTTGACTCCATCTATTAAGCCTCCAAATAAGAGAAAATGATGTGAACATTAGAAGCTGTACATTTTTTTTTTTTTTTTTTTTTTTTTTTTTTTTGTACCGGGGATCGAACTCGGGTCCTTGCGCTTGCAAGGCAGGTGGCGGAACTACTGAGCTAAATTCCTGGCTCGGAGCTGTGCTTCCTAGTTGATGAATATTTTTTAATCGCTAAAACTGATTTCAAATGATTTTAAACAGAAAATTAAAATATCCTATGCCTTCTCAGCAGCTGTTTGTGGGTGCTATCAATGTATTTGGACATGTTTGGTGGGAGACGTTTTTTCAGCTTTAATTGAGTTTATTGGTACATTTTAGGGATACAGTACCGTTACCTTCATTGTTGGGATCTTGTACCTCTACATGACGTCTTGATTCTCATTTTTTCCCCTTACCCCTGCCCTCCCTTCACCCCCTCCTCCCCTCCCCATCTACAACTACTTTATTTCCATCTTTTCATTATCTCACATTTTTTTCTTTTCCCTTATTACCCTTCCCCTACCCATCCCACCTTCCCTACACCTTTAGCTCCCTTCTTCTCATTTCTAAATGACAGTAATCTTATTAGGATCTTATGTTTTATTGCAGATTATTCACACCAGGGAAACTATTCAGTATTTGCACATGTGTGACTTATTCATTTCACTTAGGAGTATATCTTCAATATGTATCCATTTTCCTATGAATGAATCTATTTTCTCATTCTTTATGGATGAGTAATATTCCATTTTATAGAAAAACCACATCTTCTTTATCCAGTTTCCAGCTGATGGGCAAATGGACTGTTTCCAAGATTTAGTTATTACAAACTGTGCCGCTATAAACATGGGTGCACATACTTCTCTGTGATATGATTCTTTTAGTTCTCTTGGAAAGATACCCAACAGAGGGATGGCTGGGTCAAATGGAACCTCCAGTCCAAGCTCTTTGAGGTATCTCCATATTGATTTCCATAGTGGTTGCACTAGTCTGCACTCCCACCAACAATGGAGGAGGGTTCCTTTCTCCCCACAACCCCGCCAACATTTGTTATTGTGTGATTTCTTGATAGCAGCCATTCTTTGTGGGGTGAGGCGGAATCTCAGTATTGTTTTCATCTGCATCTCTAGAATGATCAGTGATGTGGAACCTTTTCTCATATATTTACTTGCTGCTTTTATTTCTTTGTCTGAGAAATGTCTGTTCATTTCGGATGCCCATTCTTGAATCGGGTCCTTATATTTGGGGGGCTGATTGTTTTGAGTTCTTTATATATCCTTGATAATAGTCCTTTGTCTGAGGAACAGCTGGTAAAAAATTTTTTCTGTGGGAGACTGGTTTTTGCAATACGTACAGCACTGCGGAGAAGGAATGGACATTCATCCGACCCTTACTCCATCTGGTCACTAGATGGTGCTCTGGCACCAGTAAGGCACAGGCTGAACAGAATTCCAGAGCTGAAAGATTTTCAAATTCCTCTCTTCCCAACTCCTCATTTTAAAGGTAGGAAACTGAAGAATAGCACAGTTAAATGACTAGTCCACCTAGTCATTATTAAAAACTGAAAAATGGGCAGGAAAATGTAGAAAGACATAAAATACGATCATAACACGTGCTACCTAGTAAGTGCCTATCTCGCGCCCGGCACCGTCAAGGCCCTTGATACAACATCTCTAATCCTCACCAAGATGCCTGTAACGTGCATTATACCTCCCACTGTGACATACAAGGACACCTATGATCAGAGAAAGCTGGAGCTCAATGAAGTTCACTCAGCCACCAAGGAAGGGAGGAGCCAGGCTTCCTCCTGCCAAGGCGCTGTGCACTGGGCTTCTCATTAAAGAGCAGGCTGGTGTTTCAGATAGCTGGGATTCTCTGTCTCAGAGAATATACACCCCTCACCTCAGCCACCTCACCTGCGTTCGTGCGCGTGCGTGTATGTGTGCGTGTGTGTGTGTGTGTGTGCGTGTGTGAACAGACATGAAGCCAGGCACGGTGACACACACCTGTAATTCTAGCATCAGAGGCTAAGGCAGAACAATCACAAGCCTGAACAATTTAGAAGAACCCTGTCTTCAAAATAAAATTTTTTTTTTAATGGCTGCAAATGCAGCTCAGGGTAAAGACTCTGGGAACACTAGCACCACAAACATAAATACATGTGAGAATGACAGTACCAATTAAAAGATTTTCTAAAATCTAAAATCCAAAATATCTGGTTCGTTCTGCTGCCATCATTCTTTTATCAATTCAAAATAATTAAACAAAAAGCAGAGCTCTCCTTTCCCCACTGTCAAAACAATGTGAATCAGGATGTGAATGAACCTCCTAGCTGCTCTCTGTTGACACAAAAACACCCATAATTCTCTTTTATAATGCATTCTGCTAAGATCCCAAGATTTTAGGGCTTCTTTTTGCTACATCCTAGCAAAAGTTATTTGATTTTTAGTTCCTCCAAACTCCTAGCTTTTCTACTAACAAACCCCTGAAATGACTTTCAGCCTCCTCAGGAAACAGTTTCTCAAAATTAAAAAAAAAAAAAAAAGACTATACACCAAGATTTCACTGTAACTGAATCAGATGTGTTAATTCATTAAAAAGCAAGCTGGCTTTTCAGTGTTTAAACTCAAAAAGCATTTACAAAGTTAAAGCCTAGATTTAAAAAAAAAAAAAAGATGAAGGTCTTGGTGAACATCAGATCCTAAAATGAGGATTCCCATGTAAAATATAAACTTAAATGAAATTGTTGTAAGCATCATAAAAGTCAATCAATATTATGCAAGAAGAATTTATTCTTATTCTCAACATGAATGGGCACAGTTTATGCAAAGCAAGAAAGATGTATGTAGAGCAATATCTTAGTGTTAGTTATTTCTTGGCTTTTATTCTTTATATGTATTGCTTAAAATTGTATAGCAAGCATGTATGTTCTCTGTGACAAAAGTTTTAAAAACACATTTGGGATCAGAGCTGTGCCGAGTCTACACACTGCCTCATACTGGCTGCGTAAGTCTGGGCAATAGATAACTCCTCAGTCTCCTTCTCTTCCAAAAATCACTACCACCTAGTCCACAGGGTGGATCATTAAATAGAGGGTATGTGTGCAAAAGGCTGAGCTCCATACCTGGCAGATAAGCAAGTGGTAGCTACCATTCTGTCTCTTATTGCAAAGTGGGGCCCCAAAAAAACTGCACCAAAAACAATTACACAAAATATCTACATCCTTTTATCTGGTGATTCTATTTCTAGGAATTTAGAGAGGAAATTAGAACTGCCAAAAAATTGACTACATATGAAACCATACCAGTCTTTAAAAAGTGAGAAACTGTAAGCACCTTATTTTGCATTCAAAAATAAGTTACCAAAATTACAGTATGGTCAGACAATACAATAATAAACACTATAGTCATGGAATACGATTGCATGGATCTACATGTACGGCCATGGAAAGAAGTCTGTGATAGGTTAAGTGAAAAAAGTAACATTAAGATACAAACTGTGTTATGATCTCATTTTTGTGAAAAAAGAAAAATAAATCTGGGTGTACATAGACATATACAACGCACATATGTATTGCAAGGGTTGAGAAGATGTGCAAAAGAAAAACCAGAAGAAGAGAAACAAATGAATGCAGTTAAGTGCCAAAAATCCCACCTCAAGTAGTAAATTTGGGAAGAATTATAGTTGACTATTATGTCCTTTTTTATTAGTTCATTAGCATTTTCTTCTGTTTTTTGAATAAGAATTTTAGCTGTATAAAAATATTTTAAATGACTTTTAAAAATTATACCTCTCATGTTCTCTGTAAGAGAACTTGGTAAGTTCTTGAAACTCTACCAAATCTATACCCAACCACAAAGACACAATTGAGACAATACACCTGCTATGATTTCCGGGGCCCGAGTCAGATAATTCTGCAAGAAGTTTAACTTAATCAATCCTGTCCTGAAAGATCAACTATTAGAAAGTAGTTTCCTCAGGTACTTCACCTCTTATTTCTAATGACCCAACATGAAGAGATGAATTAATCAATATCCGGAATAAAAGGAAATGTATTACCAAACTCTTGCCTAGGAAGACCTAATCCCAGCTTCACAAAAGAGGTCTCCTGTTTGTGAACTTAACTCTCTAGACCCAGATTGCCCATCTACAGGAAAAAAAAACATGATTCAAATATAGAGTTCCCACTAGAAATGTCACAGATGTGGAAAGTGTACTTGTGGAGACTCAAATTATCAAATCTAAATGCATGAATAATAATATACAATGAAAAGAGATTTTTAGAAGAAGTGATTGATGACAATGATATGATGAAAGAATAAATCTAGAGGGGGTGAAGGGAGGGCAGGGACAAGGGGAAAAAATGAGAACCAAGACCTGTCATGTAGAGGTACAAGATTGCAATAATGAATGTAACTGTACTGTATACCTAAAATGTACCAACAAACTCAATAAAAAGAATAAATGTAGAGGAGAGATTTCAAATTAGTTTCCCCCAGAAAAATGGTGTTCCACTTCTATGAACAGAGAGCACAAAATAGGAGCCACTATGTTCGTAAAGTTTTTTCAATTTTGTGTACTTTTCTCATAAATTAATCTTAAGTCCTTGGTGGGTATAATTACTTATCATCTAGGTAGCGTTAACAAATGGAAAAATGAATATGTAGGAAACAAGAATTAATGGCAGAGCACAGCTAATCATGTTTTATTCAAAAGGTTTAGTCTGTTTTGCGTTTTTTAAAATGTTCCTGACTGTATGCTCATGCATACGCATATACTACAAATTAATTATTGTCAGCTAGAAAACTGCTACTCATCATCACAAGGAAACTCAACATCTGAAAGAACTGAGAAACCCAGTTCTGGGTTGTGTGAACGTGGTCAAATTCCCTGTTAATCAGCCCCAATTTCCTTCTCTGTAAAATGCAGATGGGAATATCTACATCCTAAGAGTTATGTGGGCACATACTGAGATATGACTATGATTACATAGAAATTACTCAAAAAAGGGCAGGGTCACCACAATCATCATGATCATTATTCAACGTGATGCACCACCAAAAAATAGAGAGATGTATAGCGCTCCACAGCCAAAGAAATCTGAAAACCACTGGCAGAATTCAGCAATCTATTTATTGGTTTGATTAGTTTGTTTCTCAGATCCTTTAATAACAGGGTAAAGTGAACATCCTGTTTATGGAAATCAAAAATATGTTAGTTTTGAAATAATGGTTACAGCTCCACCTACTGGGAATTTAATATTTAACACACTGGCTGCTACTATTCAGGGTTTAAAATGAATATTCTTTGAAGAAAACTGCCCAGGAAAAAAGTTATCAGAAGAAATTGAGAAAGAAGAACAACTGAAATAAAATTTTGGATGGTAAAGGAAACAATAAAAACCTACCATTTTCAATTTTGCTTTTAGGATGTGGTCCACTAAATGCTAAAAATTTTCCTGGAACAATCCAGTTGAAGTCACCATTTTCAACTCGCTGGAAAAAAAAGAGAAGAAAAATATTTTACAATTCATATGCAATTTAGGAAACCTTTACAAACACTTTTCACACTCTAAATAAACATGAAGACCAAGTAATAAATCTTACAATCAAAACATGCACTTGATTTTCAAAATGTTATTTATGAATTCAATCCATTTGAGAAAAATTTCTACTTAGACTAAGAAAAGTTTTAGATTTTTATGAAAAGTTAATTTACTTAAGGTGGAAGTACTTTAAGTAAGTTTGTCTCCTGGCAAAGAATTGAAAGCAAACATTGCTGGTGCCAGCAATAAAGAGAGGTAAAAGAAAATGCAAATAATTTTCTAAGAATATAGTATACATTTAACTGATGAAAAAAACCTATAATTATCAGGTTTATGATGAACATGTTTCCAAACTGATTCTGTTTTCATGGGCTTACATCTGTTGTCAAAGCTCTTTTGAAGACGGGAAAGGGAAGGAGGCAGGAGAGAGGAACTGAGGTTAGTAAGGTTGGGAAGGTACCACAAGCCAGTCAGCCACCATCGCCTGCAGGGGCTGCAAAGCCAAGCAAGGATCAGCAACAGAGGTAGAAGTTCCTCAGCTTTAGCTATTTAGCTACTCTGCAGGAAAGCAGACTGGCCGACCTTCCATCTAGATTTCCAAGAAAATTTAGCTTTGAAATGCTGACTATTTTCAATTAGGTTTTTAAATACTATGAAACCAAACACTACATACCTGCCAGCTGACTTTCATCACCAGTTGTCATCCAAAAAACCTATAAACCCCTAATGGGATCCTCGAAAAAGTTCTGGAGACCAAGAAAGGGCCCAACTACCTTCCCACCACTCCATAACCACCTCTATTTTGTTCTTTCCTCCGTGGGCGGGACACTGGGTCAAGACTAAGGTTACCCAAGATTCTTCAGGAAGCTGGAAGATATCTGTGCAATGCATCATAAAATACATATATTATCTCTTTACTTACACCTTCTCTTTACCCCACCCCACCTACACTGCCCCAGTCTCCGTCCTTAGAGCAGGGAAGCAATACAGTTCTCTTCGTGGGGCCATCTATGGCTTTCCACGCATAGAAGACACTTCTCAATTAATGGACTCCATGAATTGAAAGCTAAGCCAAACACAGTCTGTACTCTGCTAAAAGAACTCAATGGCTCATGTTAAATAACTTGGAATAACGTCACCAAGGAAATCCGGAGCCACTACTTTAATTACTTACATTTCCCATTATCATCTAAAATCAAATCAAAACGTGCTGTTATACACTTTGCATTTTTTAAATGCGTACTTTTTTCACTCATAAAACAACCTAAATGAAACTCTACATGACACCTTGTAAATCACTGTAGTGTCGATATAGTCGCAATAAACGTGAGATCTCATAACGCCCTAAGTAAAATCTCAGAGATACTATGAGTCCACAAGCATAGCTATCTGTTCACACAAATGTGAAAAGCAAGTCAAATATGAAACTCTTTACAGCATTAAACGTTGTCTTGTTTTTTAAAAATCTCAAATTAATGGTCATTGCCCTCCTGAATAACTGTTAAGCTTAAGCACAATTTAAAAATTCAAGGATAAAGTTAAGTTCTAATCAAAAGACTGAAACCAATTCTTTACAAACAGTAGAAGAAATCAGGCATCCACATTCACTCTTTCTGTATCCTTGGCCACCAAGGAGGCTAGATAAATACACTATCCTATATCTGTTTATTTGGATTATAGATATGTTTGGGTAAATAGTAACTTTTTGTAATCAATCATGTGAGACAGAGGCAGTGGCCTGACTAAGAAACATACACTCAAAGAAACAAATGAATATACTTACAAACCTTCCTATTTAAGAAGATAAACATTAGTTAATATTGGGCCATATTTAACAGCCAAATAAGGTTAATGGAATAAGCAAAGAGATTTAGAATACTAGATTTAACTATAAAAAAATTGAAGTTGAACATTTTAGTTGACCTAATACAACATAAGCTTACTTTGGTAATTTTCTGAAATTAGTATCTATAACTTCTTTCACAGTAATTGTACAAATGCTAATATTATCAACAACAGAATATTTTAAGCAGCATAAATTAATTTTTCTAATTAAGCACACACACTCTTCAAAGAAACTTAGATCATTGAGGATATACTCCGAAGTGAAATAAATAAGTCACACATGTGTAAATACTGAATAGTTTCTCTGGTGTGAAAAACTATAATAGTACATAAGATCCTAATGAGATCATTGACAATGTGAAATAGGAAGAAAAGGGCTAAAGGTGTAGGGAAAGTGGGAAGGGTAGGGGAAAGGTAATAAGGGAAAAGAAAAAAATATGAGAAAATGAAGAAATGGAAATAAAGTGTTTGTAAATGGGGCGGGGAAGAGGGGGTGAAGGAAGGACAGGGACAAGGGGAAAAAATGAGACCTGTCATGTAAAGGTACAAGATCCCAATAATGAATGTAACTGTACTGTATACCTAAAATGGACCAATAAACTCAATTTTAAAAAAAGAAAAGAAACTTAGATCACACAGGAACTTAAGCTACTTTCCAACCCTGCTCATTTGGTGAGGAAGCATCTCAGCAAAGATAAGGTAGGAGTAGGATTTAAGGCTTGTCGAATGCAAAGCCTCCTACTTAACAAATACTACTTAGAATAACAACAGATGTTCTACCCTATAAGAAAATCCCCAAGCAAAAGTCTGAATTCCAAAACTGATTAGTTTATGCACTGTTATATACTTTACTATAGACATCTTCAATTCACAAAAGATAACTCTCCCACTGCACTTTAAATATAATTTGACTTGAAAGCATGACTTATACAACTTCTTAAGAAATACATCTGTGCCCCTGATTTATTTTGTGTGTGTGTGACTAATTGTCCAAATATATTTTCCAGTCCAAACACTGAAAACTATTTGGCCTTTTTACCATCATGACAAACCTACAGTAAGATAGAAAGATAGTCCTGGAAGTTGTCAGTTAAGAGACTGATTTCTTCTATCGACATATGTTTTCTCAGACAACATGGATAAACAATTTTGAAGCACAATTCAACACTCAAACATTTGCTGAACCTTTAATATATGTGAAAGACTTTAACTTGGTGTTGCACATAAAATAAAAAGCATTCTTTAACTTTGAGGAGTCTGAAGACAAAAGAGAATGCCCAAAACAGTAATAATAACAGCTAGAAATCTTCACAGACCCTGACTCTGTATAAGGCATTACTCTGTTCTGTACACTCAGTCTTCACAGCGACCCTGTAAGTAAGTGTCATCGTCTCCGTTTTATCCATTAAAAATAAAGCTGCACTAAACTTTGACAAATACCGTAGGTAAAACAGTGGCACAAAAACTATTTTAGAAGTTAAGCACGATATAACTATGCTGTCTTCTTAAAAATTCATTTAAAGAGTACGGTCTCTATATTTCCCTAATGTCTTAAACAATTAACTAGTGTTGACAGTAGAGTTGCACTGCATGAATGTAAGTATGCTATAAAGGTGGGTACTTTATGAGCTTAAAGCAAAGTAAACATTTGAGTTGTTTGGTTTAAATTAAGTTTCCGTGCCCTTTGGCTTTAAGCAATATTCAAACTCTACATTATTAATTTAGTTCTGCTTTTGAGGGAGACAGTGTGATGGAGGAAGAAGGAGTGTCCCATGCGGATGGTTGCTCTATCTCTGTAGCAACACCTGGGGGAGGGAGAGACAGCTGCAAGGACCAAGGGCAAAGGAGGAGACTTCTCCAACATCCGGACCAGAGAACATCTCTGCTTACACAACGGCAGGGAACAAAAATCAATTGATGTCCAGTGCTTGTGACATGAAGATTTGGAGACAGCAGCATATGTGGTGTTGCTGAAACTTGCAGTCAATCATGGAAAGTGTCCAACAAGCAATCAAGAGGCTTCCGCTGAACAGCAGAATGTCAGGGTGGACAGAGGAAAAGATCTGCACGGTGGATTAAGAAAGACGGCTGGTGATGGGAGGGAGAAAAGAGACAGCACCTTACAAGTGAGGGAAGACAAGTGATGTGTCCAGAATTGGGAGAAGCCACACCGTAAAACAAAGGGAAGAAGACCAAGCACAGCCCTTAGTCCATGTTAACTCCTGTGTCGGCAGGAATCGTTTCCATCGAGTTGTGAAGATAGAATCCAGGCCAGAATGAGCTAGAGAGTAAAGATTGCACTCGCAAGAAGTTTTGGAATAAAAGAGAGGACAGAAATCAAGCAATAATTAGAGGGAAGAAAAAAATGAGGAATTGCATAGGACATGGTAGACCACAAAACATTGTACAGCTTTAACCAATATGATTTTTAACTAGCAGTGGGTGCAATTTATCAGCAGATGTGGAAACACCGAGTCCCTTTATTTTAGCAGCAGCAGTGGCTGGGATGGGATTTGGTTCCCTATATTTGTGGCCTGTGGGTGATACAATCAGTACTAGAGGATGGCTCCAGGGGACGCTTCCCATAGCTCCTCTATTAGTCAAGTCACTGAAGCACACGCACACCTGTCTACCTGCTCCAGATGAGGTGGCCACGTCCACACACCTGCATCCTGATGCTTGCTTGACCTTAGTCCTGTGGCAGGAATTCATAATCACAGTGGCAGGAGGTCCCATTTTTCCAGGTCACAACTCATGAGCAAGTGAAAGCAGACGGACAGCCTCCCCCTTAAATCCTAGTTTTCTCTACAAATTCTAATCCAAAGCAAAGTCTTGAAACATTATACGGTAAGTCTTCATCAACAATGACTCCCACTGGTGACCTGAGGGGACTCAGGGAAACCTAACCAACTTTACTGCGCCTCAAGGACATACAGCAGGGGAAAATCAGGAGTCTGCAGCGCCTAGTTAGTCTGACAATTTACTTATGCGGTGAAGAATATAAGAGCAGTCTCAACTGGGAGACAGTTCTCTGTAGACAGTAAATTCAGTTGATGTCAACATGCAGATCTGGGCTTAGACTACAACTAACAATCTGTGTTGCACATAACTGGTTTTTTAAAAATTCACTTTCCACATAAACTGGCTGATGATGAAAGAAAGAAACGTCATTTCAAGAAGTTGTCTACCATTAAAAAAAAAAAAAAAAAACTTTGTGCCCTGGAGTGTTAGTGCAAAATTAGAATGAATGCTTAATTAAAAGTCTTAGTCACTTTCTACTAAAATCAGAAATCGCATAAAAGAAATCTTAAAACGTGTGCTATACTGTTGTTTTTAGTATTCATTGCATCGTTTATTCATTATGCCTTCCATTCTGGAAACATTTAAGAACTGTCCAACGTTAAGTGTACTGTGCTACTAGGTTCCTTACGCACACAAAGATGAATGTGACTTGGTTCCCACCCATAAGAACCAAGACACCAATGCGCAGAGTTCACACAGTGCTGCGTGAGATGAGCTTCTTTAAGACTGAAAATGACTTCACAGTCAGAACAGTAAATACAGTGGTGGGGAAGAAGGGCTCTCGGGCAGGAGGAGGGGCGGAAGCTCGTCCACAGCCATGAAAGTATAAAGCAGTGCCGCAGTTCCGGCAGGTACACAGATGTGGGTGTGAAGAGGGAGCTCTAAGGACGTAGACAGTGTCTGTCTCGCAGGGCAATGCTGTAAGGAGACGTTGAGGAAAGATACTTTCTGAGTAGGATAAAGAGGATTCTAGAAGTAGTCAACTTTTTGTGAAAGTAAAAGAAGCCTGTGCAGTGTGAAGAGCCTTGGCATTTTCCAAACATGAGCTCATTTGTTGGGCTTTTCCAGGGGAGTCATAAAATTTATCACTATCCTTGGTAGTGACTGGGGCAGACCTTACAGTGTGGGAACTGTCCGGGCCAGAATCTGAATACCCTGCTAATGCATTACAGTTAGCACACCTGCAGAGAAACTCATCCCCTTTCACTCCAGCACGGTCCTCTGCTTTCTTCAACTGTGCCAGTGGTGTTGCCATCCTACTGTTCACCTGGGCTCAAGACTAGATCATCTCTTTTTTATTCTTGTCCCTCATCTAGAGCGTTTGGTGCTACAGGATATATTTTATCTGCTTCCCTGTCTTGGGCTCAGATCTCACATCTCCTCCAGACAGACTATTATAAACGCTCCCTACCCGAGGCCGGCTGCCTCCTCCCAGGCCGATTCTGCACACCTGGCTGGGAGATCAAATATGATACAGGTTACACCTAATCTTTTTCCCGAATAAGTGCCTATCTCTTTATCTCCTTTTTTATTTTGTTGTGTTTTAAGGGGAAAGAACTCTTTTGCAAAAGTGCTCTCATAATTCAAAAAAAAATTCTGGGAATTTAAAATAAATTACATTCAACTTACTAATTTGAAAGAAGAATCAATTTTATGATATTAGGATGTTCTGCGCAGGAATACAGTACATGTTTTCCACTCGGTCAAATCCCAAGCATGGGGAATTTCCAGTCTAATAAGGAAGGTAAAGCTTGTACACAAAGAGCTGCAAGAAGTGGGAAAAGGGGGAAGCACGAACCAAAGCCATGAAATTGAGGGGGTGGGTTACTGCCAAAGAGAGGTCTGGTTAGTGTGAGGTCTGAACACATGTGGCCTGGAACAGGCGAGAGTTAAGGAAGAGCTGGTGACAGCACACAGAGACATCCGAGAGAGGCAAATTAGCAGCGAGGAGAACCTGGAACACTGAGTGCATACGGCAGAGAAACAGGAGATGCAGCGAAACAGGCAGGCTGGGGCACAACACCGCTGAGGAGGACAGGACAGAGGAGGGTAACCCCATTTCGGCAGGGCGGAGCAAGCAAAGGCCAGCTTGAGGCTAAGAACAAGAGGAGAGCTCTGTGTTATGTCTACGTGCTACGTCACTGGCCAGGGAAGATAATGTTCCAGAAGCTTCCAAATAATTCCACAGGAAAAAAAACTCAGCCAACTCTTAGAACTAAGTACATTCAGTCATATTTTAAAATAAAATGTAAGGTGGCACACGCCTGTGATCCCAGAACTCTGGCAGCAGAGGCTGGAATATTGCCATGAGTTTGAGAAGGTCAGCCTGACCCACACGGTGAGCTCAAGGTCAACTCTAATTATGATGGAAGATCCTGCCTAGAAAACCAAAAAATAAAAAATTTTTAAAACTACAAATTAAAATTGCCTAGGATAAAAGCATTATAAAGCACAAATCTTTTTTGTTTGTTTGTTTTGAGGCAAGGTCTCATATAAAGCCCAGGCTGGCCTCAAACTTGTGACAATCCTCTTGCCTTAGCCTCTCGAGTGCTATAGCCCTGTGCTACCACACCTGGCTATTTATTAATAAAACATAAAAATGACTTACAATTTCAGTACCAAACTATACTTTGAAATTATTTTTCTCATAAACCAAAGGTGCAAAATGTTTGTCAATGAAGTTTTGCTAAGAGAATAGACATAGATAAAGCATTTTCTCAAATTAAAATTTTGATGACTCCTGGTTCAAAGATAATGACAAAGTTAAAAGGACAAAAATGACAACTAAATGGGGAAAAAAAAACTCACAAATGATTTTAACAACTACTCAATTTGTAATGCCACAAGGTTAGATGAAAACCAAATTTCTTATTAACATGAAATTATATTTTCCAAAAATATTAAATGTACCAACCTCATAATGTTCATATTCATCCACATCAAAGGTCTCAAAGTCAAAAAATCCATGTTGTAATCCCTAAAGGAAGAATTTGAATTAGATTTGTCACATGAAGTTGATAAAATATATTCATCAGTGCTGGAATTGCTACTTACAAAATGATCCTGGATGTAAGAGCTTGAAGCTTTTGATTTTTTTTTTCTTTCTTTTTCTTTTTTTTTTTTTTTTTTTTTTTTTTAGAGAACGCACTTTTTTTTTTTAGTTTTTTTGTTTTTTTTTTTTTTTTTTTTTTTTTTTTTTTTTTTTTTTTTTTGTAGCACAGAACGAACTCTCAGGACCTCAAGACCTTGCACTTGGGAAGCAGGCACAACTCCACTGAGCTAAATCCCTGGCCCAAAACTCTGGATTTTTTTTTTTTCAAAACTTTGGATTTTTAATGGAACTCTAGAAATCATTTAAAACTCTGATAACTTTGCTTTAATACTGTCCTGGAAAAGGAGCTAAACACTCTGAATAGTATGAAAACATGTCCCACAAAAGATGCTGTCTGAGAATTAATTTAAATTAGTTTTATATGTCAATATGTTAATGTACATAAGCTCAAATATACTAGCAAATTTATAGTGAAAAGCTATCGGAAATTAAACCTATAACCAAACATATAACAGTGATTCAGTTCTCAGAAGAAAAGTCTATTAGTATTAGAAAATTTTGTTTGCCTTTTTCATAATATTTAGCAAAAGGGGCATTTTTATTTAATAAGCCCTGATTTGTTCATAGAACTTCAACTTTCAAAAAGTGTGCTGCACAATGCTATTTTCTGACAGAGTAAGGGTATTTGTCTGCTTTTACAATTTAGAAAAACTGATCATCTTAACAACATAAAACTTCACTTATTTTTGTAACTAATGACTTAAAGCTTTTAAAATTACCTGGCTTGTTCAGATCTAATATTTTTAGGCAGACAAAGAATCTTTTATTTGATAAGCTGTGAAGCTATACCGATTACAATAAAACACAAAAACCATAGGTACCTTTAAAAGTTACATGCTCAAGTCATTAAAAAGAGAAAAGAAAGTAGGAAGCCAAGCTGTAGTACCTCCAGCTTTTAAAACACGTTAGAGACCAGTGTTGTTGTTTTTCTGTTTTTTTTTTAAAAAAAAAGGTAAAAGAAAGGTATCAGGGTAACATATTAGAAAACATATTTTTAACCCCCATTCCAAAACAATTGAATCTGATTCTCTGAGGATGAGGCTCAGGACCAGCTTTTTAAAAATTAACTTTATTGGTATTTTTTATATACCTAATGATCACATTCATCATAGGGAATTTGTTCCTGTGCATAATATATCTTGATCCTCCCCCATTCCTTTCCTCTCCCCTCAACAATTCCTCCCCTCCTAATTTACAAAAGCGTTATTTCCACTTTTTCCCCTTCTATTCTCTTTTCCCATTTCCCTTTCCTTCCCTTCCCCTGTGCCCTCCCCTGTTGCCTTTCCCATTTGAACATTTTCCTCCTAGATCCCAAAGGACCAGCTTTCTAATAAGCTTTCCTGGAACATTCTTCTTATTAATTCTGACAACACTGGTTTTGACAACTCCTAGAGAATAAGCTGAACAAGTTAAATTATTTCGCCTTTCAAAAGGGCAATTCAGGTTAGCCATATGCACCATTCCAAAGAAACCAGTGGAAATTTTTACTCTGAATGATACTTTTCTTCCTTTCTCTTTATTTTTAAACTTTGTATTTGTGTACGTCTGGGTGTTCACGTAACACATGAGCTATGTTTACGACAACATTAATACATCAAAGCCAGAAAAATATCTTCCTTAAAAAGGCAAAAATATGGCTATACTCTGTATACACTCTCAGAAGGGTATTCATTGTCACAAAAATAGCCAGGATGGCGATATCTTTTGTAAGAGACTGTCCACGAGCCAATGTATCTCAGTTACCTAAAGGCATGTTGAATAATCTACTAGATTCTTTAAAAATCTCGTCTATATTTGAGCACACCTCAACATCTGATGAAACAATAAGTTTAGAGGAGCCTTTATTTGTGAATAGAGTCACACCTTTCCTGTACAAGAGGAAGGATGTCATAAATTTCTATATTGAGATACCAGTTACCATAATAATGGGCAGGGATATTCTGGTGGGAACTCTTTCCGAATTTCCTAAGTATTATAAGGGAAACAGCCTGTACCAGATGGAAGGAAAGGCATAATGATAATAATGATGACAAAAAAATAAATTATGTTCTCCTCTCAGGCACTTTCTAAATACTATAGTTGTGGGTTACTTGTTGAGTAATGTCTCCATAAAACCTCTTAACTAGTATTACTTCAAGGACATTTTGGGAATACTGTTAGAGCTAGTATATCTCCATAGAATTTTTTTGAAAAGAAAAATATTTGAAAACTATTTTAAGGTATTAGAGAGTTTACAACCACTGATAAAATGAAGTATCTGAGCTGAAAATATAGCTCAGTGGGCAGTGTTTGCCTAGCATGTTCAATTCCTTGAGTTCAATACCCAGCACTGCAAAAATAAATACAGTGAAACATCAAAGTCAGAAATAGCAAAGATAAACCAGGTAGTATATTCATCACATCGGCTTTCTCAACTAGAAAAATAGCAAAATCTGTTCTATATTACATTAGAGAAAAGAAGTGAGCTAGAACTGCTACTGACTCTACACAGTCCCATTGGCCATGTAATGCACATACTTCTGACGGATTAGAAAAAACATTGCTCAAGATGAAACTGTGTACTTTGACCTCTCATTAGAATTCACTGTGTAACTTGCATGACTTCCCAGATTGTAAACTAAACATGTTCCAAAAGTCTTATAGTTTCTACTTCTCTATTACCTCAAATAACTTTATAGTGCATCAAGTCACTTAGGGGGATTGTTCACAACCACACTGCAGGGCCCCACGTCCAGAGTTTATGACTCAGGCAGTCTGGGCATGACCAGTAACAGAAGAGAACAGGGCTTAGATAACTTCCTTTCTCTCCCACACCAAGATATAGCTTGATAATGAAGTTAAATGAGTAACACAGCAATGTCACAAGCACAGCAGCAGAGCAAAGTGACAAATTTGCACCAGAACATAGTTTAAATGAGAAAGGGGGGCCTCTTCTCTCCCTGAGTCTGCTCTACTTTCCATACAGTCTTTCTTGCTTGGTTATCCATGGGGACTGATCCAGAACCTCCACAGATACAAAAATCTGAAGATGCTCAAGCCTTATATATTACATGGCATTGCGTAACCTACACACACTCTCCAGTACATTCTACATCAACTCTAGATTACTTATACCGCATCGAATTAAATGGTATATAATAAGTTGCTATACTGTATTGTATAGAGAAGAAGAAGCCTGAGTGTGTTCAGTACAGAAGCAGGGAGAGGAGGGATTTTTTAGTATTTTTCAATCTGAGGTCAGTTAAGTCACCGATGAGGAACCCACAGACACTGGGGGCCAACCGTATTTCTCAAATTAATCATCGTTCAGAAAGTGAAGTGTCCTCAGCTTATAAGTTCCCCTCTCTTCTCTCTGACGACAGAAAAGGGTGTTGAGATTATTCCTTTTCAATATTTCTGAACTACTATAGCAACCTACAGCAAGAAAAATTGCTATTACCTTTCTGATTCCTTGTAAACAGTCGAGGATGGTGAGATTGTAAGTGCAATTTCCAAATGAAGCATCCCTATAAATATAAATGAACTTAATGTTAAAAACTTGCATTTGGAATTTTTAAATAATAAAATGCCTAAGTCAAAAGACATGTTTCAAACTGCCTTGGTTCAAATTCCCATTCTGCCACATTCTGGCACTGACTTGAGCTAATTACTTTACCTCTAACGTAGTCTTGGTTTGCTCATCTATGAAACAAAGTTAATAATAGTAGCTATCATTCATAAAACTGCAGTCAGATCATATCAAAAAATACATAAAAGTCCTTCACATAGTGCCTGGCATACAGGAAGCACTCAAAGAGTCTTATTAATCTTACTAACAGTGAACAGGGTTGTTTTATTAAGTAAAACATTGTGGCGAGAGGCATTCTGGCCCATGAACAACCTCTCCCCAGAAACATGGAAAACACAAGCATTAAAAAGTAAAGGCACAATGTAAGTAGGTCGGTAAAACCGGGCAGCTAGCTTCATGGATTAAATGGCATCCTCCCGTACCAAAACAAAACAAAAACTCAGGAACATGCAGTCCCACAACCTCCTCAGAATCACCGGGATCCAGGAGAGCTCCTAATGCAGCATGAGCTGCTCTGCCAAAAGGAGTGGGAACCCGCCATACCGAGAGGGGTTCCTACTCTATTTACTCAAGTTTTTAGAGCGACCTAGCAGATCTGCCTCAGGCAACATAAAACTGAAGTATCAAGTTCAGGTCAGGTAAGCAAGAACTGGTCCTGGATCTTCAACACTAGCAGTGTGCCAAGGTATTCAGGTCAAGAAACTTGACCTCGGGTCTTCCTGCTGTGTGCCCAGCCCCCGCTGCTGACCCAAGGAACAGAGCCTCCTCTAGCCCTTGCCCTGACAAAACCCCGCGCGCCCCACACCTCCGCACAGCATCTGGGAGAGCCGTGGAGGCTCCCCAGGGAGATCACAGCCTTTAAAGGCTTCCACACACTTAACAGAAAATGAAGTTTTAAATCACCAACCGCCCAAGGTACCTTTACACCTACTGAGCCACAAATTAAAATGCAACACCATCATCGCTGAGTTCAGCATCCTGAGAGCCTAACATAAAAAGTGAGTTGAACAAGTGGCTTAACAGAAAGGTTTCCTAAGGCCCAAAATGTCAAAGCAAAGTGCAATTCAATTTAACAAAATTATTAATATATGAAAACGTAATTTAGAATACCCCAATATATATTTTTTGATTAATAGATAACAAGATTTACTGACAGGTCTGATCACTACCCTGCTTTTACAGAAAGAATGAGAATAACAGTTTAAGGCATCACAACAGTAATATGACATAAAAATGTCTATGGTTTCTATTGGGACAAAGCCACTCACAGTGCTAAATTCTATTACAGTTTACTCTCACCATTTTCATAATTGAATGTAATCTTATAAACTATAAGGTCAGTGAAAATAAAGATATAATCTTTCTCTCACCTAAACTCACTAAATCTAAATTACCTTCACAGATCTAGTCAAAAACTGCTTTAATTTTAAAGAGAAAATAAACTTTAAAAATCATAATAAAGAATTATGAAAACTGGAGGGGCTCCTTATTCTTGTCCATCCCCAGCTCCTAGACTCAGCAAAACAACTGTATAAATACGAGGTACCAGAGAAAGCGCCAGCCCGAACTTTGCTCCGTGCCTGCAAAGTGGAATGAGACCATCGTGACATCTCTTGACCTATCACGACCACAACTTGCTACCAGTGACTGAAAACAGCTCTGGTGGCTCGGTGGACAAATCTTCAGTCTTGCGAAGCTGGGAGGGAAAGTTAATGGCCATCAGAATTAGGATATAAGCAGTCACCGTGGGCTGGCAAGACAGAAGTTTACAAAATGAATTATATATAATAAGGGATGCAATAAAGTTCAGTTATACCCTCTGGACTGAGGAAAGGAGATGACAGCCCTTCAGGGCCTCTACTATGCCAGGTAATTTAGGCACAGTACACACTGAATCCTCAGGCCCCGTGTCTGACCATATAAGGGGGAAAAAATTGGCTGATTAGTAGCATCTCACTCATGCATAGTCAGTCAGAGGAGAGTAAATACAGTGTAGCAGTGAAGAGACTCGGCAACATGTTACACGTTCTCTGGAAGGAAAAAAGATAAAGGTAGAAGATTGAACCTGTGAATCTGCCAACACCCGATTAGTTGTTTTTAAAGCCCCACCCCTCAGTGGACAAGGAGAAAAAGAAGAGTAAAGAAAAAAAGAGGCTGGGAGGGAGAAAGGGAGGGGAGGAAAAAGGAAGAAGAGGGGAGGAAAGGAGGGAGACAGAGAGGATTTTGAAAGCTGAAAAACAGATGAACGCGTGGTGAATAGACCAAGGAAACTGCAGACTAAGCAGACCACAGGAAAATTAAAGAATTAACATAATGAAGACCAGATAAGTGTCAGGAGGCTGGGAAGGTGGCAGCAATGGGTCCTTCGGGAAGAATGAAGGTAAGATTTGAAAGCACCACTGAATGACAGATTTTATCCTCCAAAAGAAACACTACTTCTCACTGTATAGGTCAATCCTTCCTGTTAATTTTCAACCCCGCTACAGTTAGCACCATGTGAAAGCAGAAGTTGGCCCTGATAGGCATCAAGGTACCTATTACCCACCCAGCATTCAGTCTGGAGTTGAAAGATCCCAGGTGAGGAACTTTTTTCTTCTGTGTTATAAAATGCAATCTATTTGCAAGGTTAGGACAACATCATGTTCTATTAATCAGAAGTCACTTCCTACCCTGAGGGTGATTTTATTATTCAATACTATCAATTATCTCTTTCCTCTCCACATCTCTCTCCCAGAGCGCTCTCCACAGAATCTAAACATTTTTAGGTCTCTGTCACCTTTTGAAAAGAATGACTTACTCTAAACTTTCTTGCTTCCCTATTTTCCTCCAACTACCACCTTCTCTTTAGTTTCCTCTTTAAATTAAAGCGTCTTCAAAGAGTTACTTATTCCCTCTTACAGTGTAGGTGGCTTTTAGAATACTTGATGTTGCGCAACCTCACCACCATTAACTCCAAAACACTTTCACCACCCCAAAGAGAAACACTGTGTTCATTTGCAGTCACTGCCATTCTCCTCCTCTCTACCCCTATTAACCACTGATCTGTTTCTGTCTCTGGATTTTCTTACCCAAGCCCAGTGAACTTTTGCAATCATCTTACTTAATACATCAGCCGTGTAACTCCCTCTTTTGCTCGCTGTCTTCTCTGGATGTTCTTTCTACCTCCCTAAAACTACTTCCCACTTTCCTTTGCAGAGTTATCCTTCATCTCTCAAACTGTGAAAGTCAGACCTCACCAAGGTACAATTCCAGGTCCTAATTCTCTCTTCCTAGATGATGGCCTCTCAGACTTTATAGTGTGTGTATATCAGTACCACCTTGGTAGTTCCTTCAAAACAGATTGCTGGGCTCACTGAAAGTTTCTCATTGAACAGATCCAAGGCAGGACCTGAGAATCTGCATTTCTAACAAGTTTCCAGGTACGACTGATGCAGCTGGTAGGAGGAAATACATTTAGAGAACCACTGTCGCAGTCCATCTCACCCACATAAACAACCATCTGTCTTCCAATGACCCTCAAATTCATCTCTCTAACACAAGGTCCTTCTTAGAACTTCAAGTCAGTACAGCGAACCCCTACAAGGCATTTCCATTTGGGCGTCTCAAAGTCACTGTGTGGGATAAGTCTCTTGACTCTCCCAAGTCATCCATCACCACCACCCAGCAAAAAACTAGAATCAACCACCTGGTTCGCTGTCACACCCTGTGTAGATAAAAGATGAAGATTCCAGGTTGTTCAAACTAGAGTCCAGAGGCACCCCATGTCTCTCCATCCCTTTATCCCATCCATCTTTGTGCACCACTGTTTTCCTCTCTTAAATATCCCTTGAATGCGTTTTACTCCAAGTCCATTACCATTGTCTTTCTAAAGCTCTTCTTGGTCACGCTAGTCAGTTTTCTTCTCAGCACCTGAGTGATATTTTAAAAAGCAAATATGATGTGGTCACCCTTCACCTGCAATTCATCCCTGATGTCTCACTGCTCCCAAGGCAAAGTGCAAATCCTCAACACTGCACAAGGCCCTGTGAGGCCTGTCCCCACCCCTGCCTCTCCAGGCAGCCTCTGGCCAACATCCCTGAGCTCCCGCGATGGGGCAAGGGCTCACCCCACTGAACCTGTGCCCCGCCGGTCACATGCTCCTCCTGCTCACCTTGCCTGGGTTACCTTCGTCATTCCTCGGATCTCACGCTGGCTAGATCAGATCCTGACTTTGTTTTTCCTTTAGACTTAACTACAGTTTGAAATTATACCCTGATGTGTTTATTTTTATGCTTTATCTCTATAATAATCTCAGTGATACACATTTATCACTCACCTTTGTCTTCTTAGCACCTGATACAAAATAAATAATAAATATGTATAAACAAGTGCTACAGTTAAGTAAAGGAGTTTAGGAACTCATTCCAAGAAAATGTTCCATAATATTCTATGCCTACTTTTGTTGACTCAAGAAACCTAGAGCCTTGGTTGGGGCCGGGGATTTAGCTCAGTGGCTCCCCGGCCTGCTTTGAAAGTGTAAGGTCCCGAGTTCAATCCCCAGGACCCCCCCAAAAAAAGAAAGCTAGAGCCTCAAGTCTCAGTAGCAAGAACAACTTTCTTTGCCTTAACCCCAAATCCCTTTTGTCCATTTAAAACCATTTCCTTCTCTTGTCTCCAGTGAAGAGAATGAACTGAACAAAGCTAAAAGCAATGATGTTCAAGGTAGTTTTCTCTTCCTTTGTCTCTTCCTTTTCTTTCTTTGTCAAGTGGCATTGAATACCCTGGTTTATTTTAACTCTGATGCTTCAGAGAGACTACACAGTGATTTTAGGGTTAAAACACTCCAGCAACATGCTGAAGACTTTAAAGTTCCATAATTTTTAGTTTTATGTTTCCATTCCCTCTGTTTGCTTAGCTCCTGGTTTGCTCTTCCATTCATTATGCATTCCTTTATGCATT